AGCTCTAATCCTAAAAGATCCCTGGCTTTGTGCAAGTGTACAAAGTGTGCAAGTGTTGTAAGAACTGATGCTGGTTTGAAGCCAAAGGGTAGTCACACCAAAGATTGATTTGATTTGGGTTTTTCTTCTGTCCCCTCACTTTGCATTTTGCAAATTGATAAACATAAACAATTACAATATATATTTTTGAAAGCATTCTTACTTTACAGCATTTTTCACACCTGCCTAAAACTTTTGCACAGTACTGTATGTTCCAATGTAATTGGATATGGTTGGGGACAGAGAAGGGAGAGATTTACTAATGCAGTATGTTATGTTTTTCTCCTAACTTTTTTCAAAGGATTTTCACTGGAGAGGGGGACAAATCACATTTGTATTTCCTGCAATAATGCCCTGGATCCATTCAATATAATTGATGACCTTAATGTAGATGCCAGGCTCAAGAAGTTGGGCACAAGGGAAGCCCCCCCAAGATACAATGCCCTGGAATTCTCCATTACACAGGAGGGGTCCCCCGGAGTCACCCTGTTGAGAAAATCAACCAGATTATGAAACAGCACGTTACTATCTATGAATGGGAAGTGGAGCAAATGGTTCCCTTTTTGTTCGATCTTCCATTCGCATAGAGCCCCAGATGTTTCACTTCAGGGGTCCCCAACCCAGGACCCTTGTAGAAGTGGGGATTTAACTCCCAGAATTCCCCCCACCAGCATCACCACTATTGGGAGTTGAGATCTAAGTTAGAAAACGCTGCAACTTACTACAGTACGTATGTTTCTACCAAGATGCCTTCAAGGCTGGACCTCTACCGTAACTGAAAACTGGCATAGTTCCCTTAGGAATCTTATTCAGAGGGGATCATCTTACCTTACATGAATCTTTGCCTCCTTCCAGGTCTCCTGCACACAACATGTTGTTGGTTATTGTCGCCCATGGGTAAGCTGCTTGACACACCTGATTATGGACTATTTGAATGTCAACGCAATAAGGGATGTTGGGATAAGTCTCTGAAAAGATTAAAAGTAGGCAAAGTTACACAGTTTCGCCTTTCCCAATTAGTCACCCAGATACATAGGACTATCATTCCCATTATCCAACCAGCAGAGCTGGTCCCACTGCCTGGGAACGGGAGGTATTGTCTCCCAAAGCTGTTGAAAGGCGCTACTTTGGGAAAAACTAGTCTGGTTAAAGCTTGCAAAGGATGATTTTTGTCAAGATATTAGCAGGGTTTAAATCAGCTGATGGGCATTTGGAGGTTTCTCAAATTCCTCCAGCACTCTGTGCAAAGATTGTCCTGTTGGAAAAGTGGGGCTTTAGAGGTGAATAAATAAGCTAAATCCAAATATGCAAGAGAATTCTTGGAAGCCTGGTATTCAGACAAGGCAGCAA